TTGACACTTTGGACGAAGAGAAGGACAAGTAAACCCAAGTCTTTTTATATAAAAGACATACTTTGCAATTTCTGTTGTAAAGTATATAATTTATCTATGAACGAAGTTTGAAGATGGGATACTCCCTCTCAGTGTTGGCAATGTTCCTACTTTGTACTTCTCCATTCAGCAAGGCCATGCTGCACTGCATCAGTCCCTTGTGGTGCAAGTCCAGTGCCCAGCCTGGTTTTAGTGTGATAGCAGGTCTGGTTACTACATGAGTAGTAAGCTGCAGTGCCTCTGCTGCTCGTTCACTGGTGAAAAGATCTTTTTTACCAAAAGCCTTTTCCTGTTTGACTGAAGTGGATACAGCTGGCAATCACTTCATGGCTCTTTATTACTGTCCTGGGTTCTCTGGCTGACCTTGAGTGAAAGTGTGAATCACGCTCACACATCTCTTACAATCACAGTCATTTGTATGTAATCAAAGATTAGGTTATGCAAAGTGTATATATCACATGCATTTAATGTAATATTATAGATATATTGTATATAGTGTATAATACTGTCTGTTGTGAGTATCGGCCTCTGAGCCCTTGGCAAGTATTTTCCAACTATTTTCACAATTTTTCTGGATTTTTTTTTTTTTTATTGTGCTAGGTTTATTGATGCATTCCATCTAACTTTGGGAGATATGTAATTTCCAAGATCCTACATATAGTTCAAGTTTCCTTTCCTCTTCTCCTGTAAAAGCTTTTCTTTCAGAGAACTCCTTTTCAAAGAAGAAAACACAAAAGAATACCCCAGTCATACCTAGTAAATTTTCCTGACAAAATCAGGACATCTAGAGAAAACTAATCTCTTACCTCTGCAGTTTCCCTTTTGCATGCTGCTTGCATTAAGAGCATACTCACTGATTGTTCCCAAGGCACTGTATGCATGTAGCAGAATGAAAGCTGTATCTTATTTAAATTAACAAGATGAATGAGTCCAGCATTTCCAAAACAGGCAGTGACAAGAGGAAAGCTAGGCAATATTCATGTATTAATTAAAATGAGATCTCTCCACCAAAAAAAAAAAATATGAGTCAATTGGTATTCTGACAGCTGCCCATAGACTCATTCATGAAATGATGGGCATGAAAAGCACCACGGGAAGCAGGGTTTCTACCAGAGACAAAGTCATTCACTCTATGCACATTCTGTTAAAGGAAGCAGCCTGGATATTGCAATTTATTCTTGTTGTGCTTGATGGGAAAAGAAATCTTAAATCCCAGCTGGAGAATTTACAGGACTACTTTGCACTTTAGATTTGCTTTATAGTTCTGCAGAGTCCCGCTTGGGAGACATTAACATCAGTAATAACTATAGTACTTAGCACTTATTGTGATGTGTTTCATCTGCAGATCTCGGAGAGATTTGCAAGGTGAGTGCAGAATTACAATCCCCCTGTTAGAGAAACTGAACAGATATGTAGAAAGGCTTGGTCATGTGGCCAAGGTGACACAATAAGGTGAAATGGTGGTGAAGTGACTTCAGGTCCTTCTGATCTCAAATGCCAGTGTGGGCAAAAGGAGTTATTTGCACTCATATTATGCAAAGTAATTCAATACCAGTAGAAATTAGATGTGAAGTCACGCAAGGTGAAGAGCCTCTGATATATCCAGTTCTAAAATTAATGCCCTGCAAAGACGTGTAGTAAGACGTCCCATTGCAAGCTGTGAAAAGTTTATGTTTTGTCTGTGTTTCTGGAACTGGGCACCCTTTGCCCAGGCGTGATCTTCTCTGGCTCATAAATTATTAAAGCGAGGTAAAGCAGTAAGTGCGGCGGCATTATATAATCCACGGAAATAAATCTGAATATTAGAATTACTTCCACTGCCAAGATGACAAACATTTCATAAATGCAAGATGCAACAGTGGTAATGATGTTTCTGAACCGGGAAGCAAATATTATTCTCCCAGTGTGCAAGAGAAAAATTGTCTCAGGACTGCACAGAGGGTTGTTTGGTTGGGCCAGCTTTCTGTTTCAGCGGTTGGCTGTCTTTTGGCAACCGGCCATCTAATAATTCATTGCATGCCCATGGGGCATTTCATTGGAGGAGGGACATATGTTAGTGCAAGGGTAGAGCTGGTATCAATGCTTGATGCCAGTGACATGGAACAGAGGCTCTCAAGGGCTCTTGCACATCTGTCTGCCTAGTCAGTCACAGATTGCAGGCTCTGCCCTTGTTTCTGTCTGTCTGTTGGGTTTCAGAGCTAGAAGCAACATAACATGAAGCATTTTTCAGATTTATTTCTAGGGAAGCTGCTACATAGCTTTTGTTGTTGCTTTAACTGCTGCAGGAATGCTGTGTAAGTAATGTGAGACTGGAGGTTAGGTAGTCCAGGAGAAAAAGTCTACCTTCAGTCATGAGCCACACTGTGGCAAGATGTAAGAAGTGCAAAGGCTTCAGAAGGCACTGTAGAGAGAATATTAAGCCTACTGGTCCTTATGGTTTGCACTGTTCAAACCATGCAATACTTGTATGCCTTTAAGAAGCTGTTTCAATTCCATTGAAAAAAATTGCTATGCTATGCTACCTAGAGAATATGTAGCTAATGGGAGATTTCACCAGCCAGAGTGGGTTATGGATGTGATGATAAATCTAAAAAAAAAAAAAAAAGAGATTTCCTGGTAAGCAAAGCTACCATGATTTGCCTGAGGAACAGGTACACTAGCTGCTCAGAGAAGTTATGGATACACCATCACTGGAAGTGTTCAAGGTCAGGTTGGGTGGGGCTTTGAACAACCTGATCTAGTGACATTTGTTCCTTCCCATGGCATGAGGAGTGGACTAAATGATTATTGGAGGTTCCTTCCAACCCAAACCATTCATGATTCTGTGAAAAATATGTAATACAATCTATGGGACCTGTCCCTATGTTGTTAGTGGTTCACTGTGCTGGTTTGGTTGAAGTGAGCTGCCCACTCTGTGCCCATTGCCCTGTTAGCTGGACTGCTGCTCCTGGTGCAGTCAGGCAGAGGCAGGCTGTCTGATGGAAATGCCTTCTCACCCCTTCAGCAACCTGCTGTCACTTAGGATGGATAGATGTGGGGACAGAGTTCTCTACTGTCAGCAAGTCCCCTGTATAAAATATTGGTACTTAGTAGATTGACCAAATACCTTAGGGGATTAGGGGGGCAGTTGAATGCCTTGTCCATGCTGCATTTTGGATACTGAAGCACCTTCAGTGCAAATTATACAGTAGATGGAAGATTAATTGGTTTGCTTGAAGGCTGGGAAGTGGGGAGGTGTGGTCCCTCTACAGCTGGCAGAGCCAAGACCCCTGGGGATCTCTGATTTTGTTACAAGCAGTGGATATTTTGAAGTTGACGGGGAACTACGCCTGTGAGACTGCATAGGTCATTGAACACACATGCCATAGGATGCAAGGAACCTGGATTTCCATTGCTAAGTCACTTTGTGTCCACCTGGGAGGAAATCTGCCTTGGTCTCTTTTTTGCCTTTGTCTCAGCTCCCAAAATTACAGGGAGGAAGTGGCCATTGAGATGGCATAGTCTGTATACCATGGTCTAAATACAACTCTGGTTTGGATTTGAGCCCACCATTTGGAAACAACATCTCTTCTTGATTAAAACATTCCTGTGGTGGATTTACCACCAGCATTCTTGGTACATGGTTCCAGTAATTAATTACCCGTACTGCAAAAAATTTCTGTCTTGTTTCTAGACTGGAGCCAGGGTGTATGCACAAAGTCTGGATTCTCTGAGAACTGAGTCAGATAAGAAAGCCATCTGGGCAGTATTTGGTCTACTTCCTCTCATATTCAGCCCCAGTTTATACACAACTCTTCTCCAGCATCTTCCGTTTTCAGGTTTAGTTAACTGGCCTGAATGAACCTCACAGCACCTGCACACCTGATTATCCCCTGCTGTTGAAGGTGTTTTGAGGTGCCAGGTGAAACAAGTGATTGTGCTGCTGAGAGCATTCTGCATTGAGGAAGGTAGTCCTAATCTCCTGTCTGTTCTGACCTTTATCTTCCTCTAATACTTCATACCCTCTTAATACTTCTTATTGTCCTTAACATTTTCCAACAGTCCAGTGTATTGAATGCTTGTGAGCTGGTGCCTGCACACAGATCCATGGGATCTCTTCAGCCCATGTACCACTGCACCTGCATCTCTCACTGTAATTGAGAGATTTTTTTGAGTCTGACTTTCCATAGCAGTAACATCAAGGAAGTGTGAACTACAATCTAAGATGTCTCTCTGTGTGCACCTTTGATCTGTGTGGGCTGAGGCCCTCTGTGCATCAACATTAAGTAGTGCCATGAAAAGCCAAGCAACAGGATGACATCAGGGGGCAAATGCCATATGTAAACTCAAATGGAACTCATGAGTTGTAGTCCAGGGGTATCCTGGTTTTGGTAAGGCAGTGTGTATCTGAGTGCTCAATGAATGTTGCTGTCTCTGGAGATGAGGAGAAACGTGCTCACCCCTCCAACTTGCCTTTAGCAGTGCTGACAGTTTTGGAAGAGTCTCTAGATATTGGAGCAGTTTAGGAAGGAAGCCAATGAGCCTCATTCAAATATAAGTTATTTCAGACTATGACCCAAAGGGTCAGAGGATAACCTGGGGACACTGCCATTGCCTTAGTCTCACCAATTTCAATAGGTCAGACAGTCAAACAAAGAGAGTTTGCCATTGACATCACTGAAAAAATAATCTGACCCATAACCTTATATTCATCAACTTCATTTTCTAAGAAGCCAGACATAAAAAAGAGAATAGATCGAGTAAGAGTTATCCTCTGAGGATCTGTTAGTGATATTTCATACCTCTGTATACCTTTGTTTTACATTTTGTACTTTTAATTCACATGATGAAGTTTTCAGACAGAAGTGGATATCATGTGTAAGCTGAGTTCCTTGTCTTTTTCTTTTGCCTGTCACTGGCTGCATGTTCTCTATTGATGTCTTGTTCCTGGTACTTGACACTGACCATCTTGTCTGTGAAAGGAAGCACTCCAGCTGGTTTGCCTGATGAGAAGAAAGGAAAGTTTGCTTGGTTTAGTCACTCTACAGAAACCCATGGTAATGTTGCACTGCACTCTGTGTCCACCCTGTGTATATCTGTGTGTATGTGTGTCTGTATAGCTCAGTGCAGACTGGCATGTAATACAGCTTTGTCTTCTTCTGCATGTGTGTGCCTTGTTTTTTCTGTTGTTTATGCAATGTCCTCTTCATGCACTCAAGATAACAAGCTGCTCTGCAAATCAGTCTCTTGCTAATGTCTTCAAAATTGTTTTCCATTTGCAAATAAGCTCAAATATGTCTTGAAAGCGCTTTACCTCATCTTCAAAAATGACTTGCAAAATATCAGTGTTTGGGTTTTTTTTTTCCTGCAGGGCTTAGTCTGGACAAAAATTTTAATTATGAATGTTGTTTTTCTTCTTATAGCTTACTTGACTGTTTCATGTACATCAGAATATTAATTCAGTTTATCCTTAATTTATCTTTCCAAATAAACAAGATTATTAAAACATCTGTCTTCATAAAGGAACAGGCACCATTAGAGTACAATATTTCATAATTCTATCAAGTGTGCTAGAGGGTCAATTGTTTCATATTGTCCTAAGAACACAACATAAGAACTTTAGATTTCCCAGACTTGTGTTTTAGGTATGTGAATTTCTGTGATGGGATGAAGGAAAGATAGTTCATTTTGAGGGATATTTCTCCCATAATGCTTTCAAAGCGAGAACCCAAGAATACTTTTGGAAGAACCTGCTGATATCTTTCTAGCCCCTGAAGGATGACCTACCTGGTCCCATGGCCCTCTGAGCACCTGCCCGATTGAAAGACAGAACCCATTTCTTTTACGTTGCCTACTTTTGTACCGACAGCCCACAGGCAGATGTATTCTTAGTATTGAGTTACATATTCTCACAGGCTATTAGAAGTGTCTCCACCAGGTAGTACTGCATGCTCTCAAGTCTCATCTGATGTATATACCCAATTGCTAATACAGGTCATGTTCTGAAGTTCTACCAGGTTTCTGGGAGATCTGTTTAACACCACCATCACTCGGTCTCAAGTATAATTTTTTCAGTTGTTTTGTGTATTTGAAAAGAGGGGAGGAGGGAAGAGAACACATATTAAATCCTATCCATTTTCCTAACTTATGTTGAATTATTATATATTAAGGAGTTAGTAGAGCTCATATAGGAGCCATGAACATCTGGTGAAATGAAAACGGTGTGGGTTTTCTTTTCTTCTTCTTTTTTTTTCTTTTTTTTTTTTTTTTAATGATCTGTAGAAACAAATCAAACGTTGAGATTTGATAACAGATAGAAAATGTGACAGGTTCTTGAATCCAGATGAGATAGGTTCCCACCTAAGGTTGCTTTCAGTTGATGTTTGTTCCATGATACCTCTGTAAAAGCCTAGGAAATTCTGTCCAGTTCTTCGATGGCGACTGCCAATGTAAAATCTCCACCAATGTCTATATTCATTGGCTCCTTTGTTGGTAATATCTGAGTGGGTCAGACAGTCTGAATTTCTCTTTTATACCTATAGATCCAGTTTCTAATTGTAAGGTTGAAACACATGTATGTGACAGATACACAGTATACACAATACATCAGTATTTGTGGTATTTGCTATCAGGCTAACAGAAGCTGTTTATCTGCACACATGCCAATCCTGGTACCTTTTATTTGTATTCAGTCATTGCACAAAAGATTAGGAAGGGCAGTGAGGTGGTTGGGCTGCTGCAGGTAAAGAGGCTCCTTTTTAAAGTGTTCTGTTGAATCAAACAGAAGCTTCTTCTTGGGTTCATCTGCTTTTCAATCGTTCTCAATCATAAAATTTCCAGGAACTGACTCTGAAACAAAGAGAGCAGCTGCTTCTTCCCTTTCCTTTAGCATCTGAGCAACCTGTGTACATTCCTGAAGTCTGCCTGCCCAGCCTGGTCTGTACAGGGAGGCACAAGACTTGCTCAGCAAATTGCTTAATCCTCAAGAGCTGCAGCTGAGGGTCTTTTCATTAAGCCAGTTCCTTCGCTCATGTGGCTCACTAAGAGATGTGCCAGGTTCTAATGGCCAACCCTCTCTTTTTCTTCCCTTTGACTCTTACAGTGAGCATGCCCACCAGTGAGACCGAGTCCGTGAACACAGACAACGTCCCTGGAGCGGACATGGAAGGCGAGAACTGCGGCGCGAGGCTGGCGTGAGTACACACACAGACATCTGCATCAGGGCTGGGGCTGGGCTCAGGGGATAAAGCCAGGGCAAATGTCAGCCTCTTTAAGAGGAAGAAACCCCCACTGTGGGTGAAAGGAGAGGCTGCAGAAGGTCTATTGATCAGGTTCTTATCTTAATTGCAGTGTAAACTCTCTCTGGACATTAGTGAGGAGACGCTGAGTTTACATGGATTTAAATAAAGCACAGAATGCCCAGGATAAGCAGATCTGGTTTTGCATAATAGCTAAAAGAGAAACTGATGGATAACAGTGTTCTTATTTTAAAATTCCTCTTAGGTGGTAGATAGTCAAAACCAGTGTGTGTAGACCAAAGAGTGGAAATGACTGGTCCATTTCCATTTTCTAACAATCCTTGTATGCTTTGCGTTGTCTTGTAATAGAAATACATTGATGAGAACTCCCATCTGACAGACTGCATTACACCCTTCAGATGCTGCACAGAACACTGTAGTGACAAAGAAATATATCAGTTAGGAGGGATTAATGCCTCCTCCTTGAAATTGCACTACTGTAGTTAAAGAAGGTGCTCAAGAATGAGTGAGATGGAGGTTATGAAATACCATATTAAGTGGTGTATTTTTTAACATCACAGAGAGGAAGAGTAGTTAAGAGGAGTCCTTTATTCCCTTTTGTATGACTGAACAAGAATGGACTTTATGCTTTGAGGGCAATATGTTAGTCCCTCCAAATTTCCTAGAAAAAGGAGTTAAGCATACCTCTGCTATAGCTTGGACCATGCTGGAGTACTTTGAGGCTCTGTCCTGTCCTTGGGCCTACCTTGAGCTCTTTGGTGATGCTCAAATGCTCATCATAAGTGAATAAGAAATGCTCTATTGTGTCATACCTGTTGACCAGTTGACCCAGTGTTCAGGTTCTGACAGGAGGGCAAGCACTTGAGCCTGGGTATTTCCTGCTTTCCAGTCTCCTTTTGCTGCTCCCAAACTCATGCTTATTGAATTAGAGATATTAGCAGGCACACTGCTTTTTGCCTCTATGGACCTGTCCATGGATTTACCTAAGGCTCACTGCCTTCACAATCTTCTGTGGCAACACATTTCAGATTTTCACCACCTGCTGTGTAGACAAGAACTTTCTTCTATCTGTTTTAAGATGATCTATTACTGCTTTCAGTCAATGTCCTCTCCCTGTAATATTGTGATATTTGGTGATCAACTGTTCCACATTCAGCTTATCTGTCACTTCCATAACCTTGTAAACCTTGATTGTATCTCCCACACATACCCTTGGCCCTCTCCTCTACAAACTGAAGAGGAGATCTTATCGACATTAAAAGATGTGATACATGGAATGTGTTGTAAATTCAATCTGCTTTCCTTGAAGAGTCAGCCAGAAACTTACAAACCCCAGGAGAAATTATTTGTGATAGCTTTCCTTCACCTGTCTGCTGTTGTGAACCTGCTGAGTCTTTTAGTTTAGATTATGAACACTTTTCTGAAGGAGCCTGCCTAGATCTACTCACAGCACTAAGGCAGTTTTAGCTCTTTCTTTGGCAACCCAGCAAGTTTCTTGTGCTCTTGGTGCATTACAGGAAGAATCAGGTGGATGTGTGATCACTTCTTCCAGCTGGATTCAGTTTGAAGAACCATCTCTATTCTGCAGCTGTGGTTCACAGAATCACGGAATGGATCAGGCTGGAAGGGACCACAGTGGGTCATCTGGTCCAGCCTCCTGCTCAAGCAGGGCCATCCTGGAACACATGGCACAGGATTGTGTCCAGACAGCTCCTGAATATCTTGAAGATCTTGAAAAATGATTGTTAGCAGCCTCGCTATGTCCATCATGGGTGCATTCCATCAGGGCCCATGGACTTTTTGGATGTCAGGTTTGCCTAGCTGTTCTCTGACCCAATCCTTCTTGGCCAAGGAAAATTCTTCCTTCCAACATTTCTTTACCTTGGTCTCCTGGGTCAGAGATTCCTGAGGGCTGACTTTGTCAGTAAAAACCAGTGAAAAGAAGGCTGTCAGTAATTCTGCCTTCTTTGTACCATCAGACCCCCTCTCCATTTAGTAAGAGGCCCACATTATCCTTAGTTTTCCTTCTGTTATTGATGTATTTGAAGAAGCCTTTCTTCTTGTCCTTGACATTCTTTGCCAGATTTAATTTTAGGTGGTCCTTGGCCTTCCTGGTCTCATTTCTGCTTACTCTGACAACCTCTCTATATTCATTCCAAGTGGCCTGACCCTGCTTCCATCTCCTGTTTGTTTCCTGCTTCAGTAATGACAAGAGTTCCTTGTTCATTCACAGAGGTCTCATGCCCCCTTTGCCTGATTTCTTGCTCATCAGGATGCATTGTTCTTGAGCCTGGAGGAAATCATCCTTGAATATCAACCCACTCTTCTAACACCTCCCTCCCTGGAGGAACTCTTACCACGGGATTCTTCTTAGAAGATCCCTAAAGAGGCCAAAATCAGCTCTCCTGAACTCCATGGTTACACTTTTGCTTGCTGCCCTGCTTCCTCCTTGCCCAAAACTGAACTCAGCAAGCTCTTGGTCACTGCAGCCAAGGCTGCCCCCAACCTTCACAGTTCCAACAAGGCCTTCCCTGTTTGGTAGTGTTAGGTCAGGCAGCACACCATTCCTTGTGGGATCCTCCACTACCTGTGTCAGACAAGTTGTCATCAGTGCTTTCCAGGAACCTCCTGGACTGTTTGTGCTTTGCTGCGTTGCTTTTCCAGCATCTGTCAAGGTAGTCAAAGTCCTTCGTGGTGAGGGGACTCAGTGCCAGAAACAATGGCAACAGTTTTTATAAGGTTTCATATATTTTTAATATTACAGCTTACATTCATTTGTTCTTGCATTCAATGTTCTTAATCCCAGCAGACTCTAAAGCACTTTATGAGCTTTAAATGCAGAGATTGTTTTCACAGCGTTAGAGTTCAGCCACCTTCAGGGTAAAATGTGACAGGTGTTTAAAAAAACCAGGCACAAGTGTATGAGGAGATGTTTGGGGGATAGCTTGTTCTGCACTGAAACTGCATGGCGAATTTTGGCAAGCAGAACATAATTATCCTAGCTGGAATGTGGCCAGGAGAGCCAAAGTTAAACCCAACTCTAAATGTAATCATGACTTAGAATGGAGTTTACTTAAAATAGCCCAGCGTGCTCACAGGAGAATGGCAGTCCTCAGATTTGGCATTAGGAGCAGGGATGGCTAAGTCCAACAGGTTTTAGGGAAGAAGGCACAGGAAAATTACAGGAAAACTGAGCTTAATTTCTTCTTCTTGTGTTGCAAATGTCAAAGCAGGACCTTAAGTTTCACCAGACCAGGACAAGTAATATTCAGAGAGATAAACAGTTTCCTTGTCACTCTTCACTTCGTTTGAAAATGGATGATGTATAGTAGGAGAGTTGAAGTCTGTTATTGAGAAGGATTTTTTTACTCCTTACCCAAGGACAGTTGGGATCCTCAAGGCCTCGCTCAGATTGCTTTTCATCTCTAGGAGATGGATAGGCTCCTTCATGCATGAAAATGAAGGGCTGTATCATTGTATATGAAATTCCAGGGTGAGATACAAATTTTGCCAATACTTCCTGCTTTTGTAAAATGTTTGTTTCAAGCTTTGTGAAGCTGCAAATTCCTTAGTTCTGGGTAAATTCAGATCTGCCTTTGATGCTGAGGTTTGGCATCCTTTCTGGTTTCTTTTGTTACTGCGTCTCACACTTAGGCAGAGAGAAACCAGCTTTCCTGGCTTTTTCCTGGTATTAAGTACTCTTCTCACTGACCTCTCTTTTAAACACCTCATAGGCCAATATTCCTGCTGTAATATATAGAATTTAAGCAAGAATTTATCTGAATGAGTGTTTTCTTTATTGGAACCTGACTAAGAATCAGAATTTGGCCCAGTGTTCAAGAATAGTGAAAATTCGTGTGGGAAGTCAGTTCAACTTTTCAAAAAAGTTCCTCACCAAGTACTAGAGATGTTGAATAAGCATTAATAATTATACCCATGCCATCCTGATTTACTCTAGTTGAAGATTAGGCCAGCACTTTTGAGCAGTCATCAGCCCTCTGTTTTTACAGTTGAAATGTAACCAAGTTTTTTGTTTGATTGTTGAGTTTCATGTATTGCACGTGAGTCTTGGTTTTTACCAGCTTTCTAAAATCACCCAGTGGCCATAAGTCCCGATTGCTTTGCTAATAAAACACATTTTCCCAGAGGGCAGAGGCTGCACTGGGCAAACTGCAGCCAGACACGACTGAAACAAGGTGGGGATTTCAAGTCAAAGGCAATATATTTATTTATTTAGTGACATCAAGCTGCCTAGGGCGTTTGACCACCCCAGCACCACCACCACAGTTACAGGTTGAGCTTGCCATCCAAGTGCACTCACGATAAAAGGAAAAACAAATGCTCAGGAGACTGAAGGAAAAACTTTTTCATTGAAGATAACTTAGAATTACTGGCTGTTCTTTCTGTTCTTTTAAAAATCTGTAGAGCTTTGAAAAACTGTGCCTGTGAATGACAGAAAGATCTGCTTGAGAAGCCAGGCTCAAACGTGCCTTTTGGAAAAGGAGATCTTCCCTGACAGCCTTTCTCAGCTCCACAGAGACATATGCTATGTGAGATCAGGAGAGTACCTCTCAAACACAAGCTATCTCCTGCTGATGAATTGTCTCAAAGAAGCTTTTATTTCTCTAGTATCCATACTATAGAAATTGCCTCCATCAGCTGTGCTGTCTGGAGCAGTGCCAGTATTCAAACCAGCAGAAGGAGTTTCAGGAGGAATCTAACATCTAATCTCTCTTTGCTTGTTGTGTAAATCCAATTTTTCAGAACTTAAACAAAACAAACAAACAACAAAAAAACAACTTCATTCATATTCATTCCTGGTGTAATTCTGCTGGCAACAGCAGTGCTGTGACACAGAGCAGTTCCCTTCCTAAGGGTATAGTATAAACTTCATCAGGCGTTGGAATCTGAAAATGGTTTTGTAGGGTTCCACA